AAAAAAAAAAAAAAAAAAAAAAAAAAAAAAAAAAAAAAAAAAAAAAAAAAAAAAAAAAAAAAAAAAAAAAAAAAAAAAAAAAAAAAAAAAAAAAAAAAAAAAAAAAAAAAAAAAAAAAAAAAAAAAAAAAAAAAAAAAAAAAAAAAAAAAAAAAAAAAAAAAAAAAAAAAAAAAAAAAAAAAAAAAAAAAAAAAAAAAAAAAAAAAAAAAAAAAAAAAAAAAAAAAAAAAAAAAAAAAAAAAAAAAAAAAAAAAAAAAAAAAAAAAAAAAAAAAAAAAAAAAAAAAAAAAAAAAAAAAAAAAAAAAAAAAAAAAAAAAAAAAAAAAAAAAAAAAAAAAAAAAAAAAAAAAAAAAAAAAAAAAAAAAAAAAAAAAAAAAAAAAAAAAAAAAAAAAAAAAAAAAAAAAAAAAAAAAAAAAAAAAAAAAAAAAAAAAAAAAAAAAAAAAAAAAAAAAAAAAAAAAAAAAAAAAAAAAAAAAAAAAAAAAAAAAAAAAAAAAAAAAAAAAAAAAAAAAAAAAAAAAAAAAAAAAAAAAAAAAAAAAAAAAAAAAAAAAAAAAAAAAAAAAAAAAAAAAAAAAAAAAAAAAAAAAAAAAAAAAAAAAAAAAAAAAAAAAAAAAAAAAAAAAAAAAAAAAAAAAAAAAAAAAAAAAAAAAAAAAAAAAAAAAAAAAAAAAAAAAAAAAAAAAAAAAAAAAAAAAAAAAAAAAAAAAAAAAAAAAAAAAAAAAAAAAAAAAAAAAAAAAAAAAAAAAAAAAAAAAAAAAAAAAAAAAAAAAAAAAAAAAAAAAAAAAAAAAAAAAAAAAAAAAAAAAAAAAAAAAAAAAAAAAAAAAAAAAAAAAAAAAAAAAAAAAAAAAAAAAAAAAAAAAAAAAAAAAAAAAAAAAAAAAAAAAAAAAAAAAAAAAAAAAAAAAAAAAAAAAAAAAAAAAAAAAAAAAAAAAAAAAAAAAAAAAAAAAAAAAAAAAAAAAAAAAAAAAAAAAAAAAAAAAAAAAAAAAAAAAAAAAAAAAAAAAAAAAAAAAAAAAAAAAAAAAAAAAAAAAAAAAAAAAAAAAAAAAAAAAAAAAAAAAAAAAAAAAAAAAAAAAAAAAAAAAAAAAAAAAAAAAAAAAAAAAAAAAAAAAAAAAAAAAAAAAAAAAAAAAAAAAAAAAAAAAAAAAAAAAAAAAAAAAAAAAAAAAAAAAAAAAAAAAAAAAAAAAAAAAAAAAAAAAAAAAAAAAAAAAAAAAAAAAAAAAAAAAAAAAAAAAAAAAAAAAAAAAAAAAAAAAAAAAAAAAAAAAAAAAAAAAAAAAAAAAAAAAAAAAAAAAAAAAAAAAAAAAAAAAAAAAAAAAAAAAAAAAAAAAAAAAAAAAAAAAAAAAAAAAAAAAAAAAAAAAAAAAAAAAAAAAAAAAAAAAAAAAAAAAAAAAAAAAAAAAAAAAAAAAAAAAAAAAAAAAAAAAAAAAAAAAAAAAAAAAAAAAAAAAAAAAAAAAAAAAAAAAAAAAAAAAAAAAAAAAAAAAAAAAAAAAAAAAAAAAAAAAAAAAAAAAAAAAAAAAAAAAAAAAAAAAAAAAAAAAAAAAAAAAAAAAAAAAAAAAAAAAAAAAAAAAAAAAAAAAAAAAAAAAAAAAAAAAAAAAAAAAAAAAAAAAAAAAAAAAAAAAAAAAAAAAAAAAAAAAAAAAAAAAAAAAAAAAAAAAAAAAAAAAAAAAAAAAAAAAAAAAAAAAAAAAAAAAAAAAAAAAAAAAAAAAAAAAAAAAAAAAAAAAAAAAAAAAAAAAAAAAAAAAAAAAAAAAAAAAAAAAAAAAAAAAAAAAAAAAAAAAAAAAAAAAAAAAAAAAAAAAAAAAAAAAAAAAAAAAAAAAAAAAAAAAAAAAAAAAAAAAAAAAAAAAAAAAAAAAAAAAAAAAAAAAAAAAAAAAAAAAAAAAAAAAAAAAAAAAAAAAAAAAAAAAAAAAAAAAAAAAAAAAAAAAAAAAAAAAAAAAAAAAAAAAAAAAAAAAAAAAAAAAAAAAAAAAAAAAAAAAAAAAAAAAAAAAAAAAAAAAAAAAAAAAAAAAAAAAAAAAAAAAAAAAAAAAAAAAAAAAAAAAAAAAAAAAAAAAAAAAAAAAAAAAAAAAAAAAAAAAAAAAAAAAAAAAAAAAAAAAAAAAAAAAAAAAAAAAAAAAAAAAAAAAAAAAAAAAAAAAAAAAAAAAAAAAAAAAAAAAAAAAAAAAAAAAAAAAAAAAAAAAAAAAAAAAAAAAAAAAAAAAAAAAAAAAAAAAAAAAAAAAAAAAAAAAAAAAAAAAAAAAAAAAAAAAAAAAAAAAAAAAAAAAAAAAAAAAAAAAAAAAAAAAAAAAAAAAAAAAAAAAAAAAAAAAAAAAAAAAAAAAAAAAAAAAAAAAAAAAAAAAAAAAAAAAAAAAAAAAAAAAAAAAAAAAAAAAAAAAAAAAAAAAAAAAAAAAAAAAAAAAAAAAAAAAAAAAAAAAAAAAAAAAAAAAAAAAAAAAAAAAAAAAAAAAAAAAAAAAAAAAAAAAAAAAAAAAAAAAAAAAAAAAAAAAAAAAAAAAAAAAAAAAAAAAAAAAAAAAAAAAAAAAAAAAAAAAAAAAAAAAAAAAAAAAAAAAAAAAAAAAAAAAAAAAAAAAAAAAAAAAAAAAAAAAAAAAAAAAAAAAAAAAAAAAAAAAAAAAAAAAAAAAAAAAAAAAAAAAAAAAAAAAAAAAAAAAAAAAAAAAAAAAAAAAAAAAAAAAAAAAAAAAAAAAAAAAAAAAAAAAAAAAAAAAAAAAAAAAAAAAAAAAAAAAAAAAAAAAAAAAAAAAAAAAAAAAAAAAAAAAAAAAAAAAAAAAAAAAAAAAAAAAAAAAAAAAAAAAAAAAAAAAAAAAAAAAAAAAAAAAAAAAAAAAAAAAAAAAAAAAAAAAAAAAAAAAAAAAAAAAAAAAAAAAAAAAAAAAAAAAAAAAAAAAAAAAAAAAAAAAAAAAAAAAAAAAAAAAAAAAAAAAAAAAAAAAAAAAAAAAAAAAAAAAAAAAAAAAAAAAAAAAAAAAAAAAAAAAAAAAAAAAAAAAAAAAAAAAAAAAAAAAAAAAAAAAAAAAAAAAAAAAAAAAAAAAAAAAAAAAAAAAAAAAAAAAAAAAAAAAAAAAAAAAAAAAAAAAAAAAAAAAAAAAAAAAAAAAAAAAAAAAAAAAAAAAAAAAAAAAAAAAAAAAAAAAAAAAAAAAAAAAAAAAAAAAAAAAAAAAAAAAAAAAAAAAAAAAAAAAAAAAAAAAAAAAAAAAAAAAAAAAAAAAAAAAAAAAAAAAAAAAAAAAAAAAAAAAAAAAAAAAAAAAAAAAAAAAAAAAAAAAAAAAAAAAAAAAAAAAAAAAAAAAAAAAAAAAAAAAAAAAAAAAAAAAAAAAAAAAAAAAAAAAAAAAAAAAAAAAAAAAAAAAAAAAAAAAAAAAAAAAAAAAAAAAAAAAAAAAAAAAAAAAAAAAAAAAAAAAAAAAAAAAAAAAAAAAAAAAAAAAAAAAAAAAAAAAAAAAAAAAAAAAAAAAAAAAAAAAAAAAAAAAAAAAAAAAAAAAAAAAAAAAAAAAAAAAAAAAAAAAAAAAAAAAAAAAAAAAAAAAAAAAAAAAAAAAAAAAAAAAAAAAAAAAAAAAAAAAAAAAAAAAAAAAAAAAAAAAAAAAAAAAAAAAAAAAAAAAAAAAAAAAAAAAAAAAAAAAAAAAAAAAAAAAAAAAAAAAAAAAAAAAAAAAAAAAAAAAAAAAAAAAAAAAAAAAAAAAAAAAAAAAAAAAAAAAAAAAAAAAAAAAAAAAAAAAANAAATTTTTTTAAATGTACATAATATTTTGAAGTAAACAATCGTAAAGCATGATATGTGAATGATAAAAGGCAAAAAACCGATCAGATCTACAACAATTTTTAAGTGAAATATTACAAATTTAAAAATTAATATAAAAACCAGAAAATGTCACGCAACAATGGTGTTGTTTCAGATTATCGAGATGCACACCTGACTGGTTAATACAGTCAAACGTATGCCATGCAACACGAAGTGCAGGCATCAAGATATTGTAATGGGAAAATTTAAGACTTGAACGATTTTCCAATATTTTAATGTATGTTACAACATTCTCGGATAATAATTAACACAATTATGGTAATGTAAAGTGGTAGCATTCTTTTTAAAAGACTGTGTGTATGCAATGATAAAGGATTTAAATAGCAATAAAATGAAACTACTGTTTAAAGTGAAATAAAGAATATTGTAATAAAATTTTCTCATCATATAATTGAAATTGGGACATTCAAATCTGCCTCAATAGACTTTCTTTTTAACATAGTCATTATGTCGATATTTAAATTAAACTCTCAAAAATATTAAAAACATTAAAAAAGATGTTATAGTATTTGAAAGTGAAATAAAATTTATTATTGTCATTATATAGTTTCTTAATTTTCTCTGAAGTATATTAAAGAAAAGATTTATCAAAATTAAATTGAAAACTTTAATGCATTTGCATTTACATTTATATGATATTACTTTATTATATTTTTTATTAATATTTTAAAAAAGAAAAATGTAAACGAGAATTTTATTATGAAAAAAGTCTATGAAAATAAATGCAACTTATGCAACTTTAAATGCTCATTTAAAATCAGAATGTTTCTTACTGTTAATTTATCAAATCTGTATCTTGATAAACATTGAAAACAGCACAAAAATGCTAAAATTTTACATCTGACTATAACAATGCTATTAATTGCTAATTAAATGTCAAATAATTTGGTCTAAGATAGGCTTTAGGTGCCATCTCTTCAATAAATTTAATAATTAACTTAGAAGGTTCCAAAAGAAAAATTCTGTGCATTTTATTTCTTAACTGCTAATTGTATAGGTTAGATAAAATCTTGATTTTATCACGATAAAAAAATTTCAAGGTCGACCACGTCAAAACCAGGTGATTCCTTATAAATGAACAATGTGCGTGTGTAAAACTTTTTTTTTCTATTATCATCTAACTACTCTCATTAATGAAAGTTTATTCAAATACAAATATAAGACAAAATAATAGCAAGTACTTACTTCGGCCATTCTAGGATTCCATCCTCCATGACCTTCTTGCATAACTTTAAGCTTTTCGACATCAAGCAACACTTTGACTTTATCTCCGACATTAAACTGATGTTTCATGGCCGAAGGATTTACCGAATAAGCTTCGACTGTTTGACCTGCGATAACGATATATTTTTAACATAAACCGAATTCCACAATACATCAAGAATAAAATTATAAATTTATATCTTTAAGAGCAGTTGGAAATATACTTAGTAGAAGAGCACAAAATATATTTAAAAAATTTATTCTAAAGGGTGGAAAACATCGCTCGAACTTAACTACTGTATCTATGATGACATTGACGTTATCAAGACGTCACACAACTTTCTAGTCTTGACGAACTAATTTAGTGTTTAAATAATACTATTTTCACAATAAATATTCCTTAAAATAAT